ATTTCTGAGTGTTTTCTGTGCTGCAGAACAGGAACCTGCTGTAAAACAGCAATTATGCCGAGTCAGGCTTGATTTTTAGTAATCTTTTCCTGTTGAATCAATAAATCAAAATCAAATCAAACTAATCCTTAAGATTAATTTCATTAAAGCAATAGATGGTTGATGAAGAGATTACATTTGCGTATCAAATCTACTTCCAAGGTTCACGTAACTACAGAATGTTTGGAGTTAGAAACAGTTTTTGGTAAATAAGTAAAATTCAAAATCAATAAAGGAACCAAAATCTAAACTTGCTCAAGAAAAGAGGAGAGATGTAACAAATCAGTTTTTTACATGTTTACAAACTCCAGCAAGACTTAACTACTTTATTAAGATAACTTGTAAATGGACAGCTGCAGTGCAATTATAAAAATGTTTTAGAAAAAAAAAAACCAGGAACTACCTTTTTTCAAAATCTAAAACATGTTTATTGTACATTTATACCTAAAACTTGTGTACAGTATTTTGTTAAAGTTTAAGATCATGCTTCAATACAAACTTCCAGATGGCATAAATACTAGTAAACCTTACATATTCAGAGGAAAAAAATTTTTTTAAATAGTTTGGAAAGAAAGCTGAACACAGTATGACTGACCTGCAGGCACAGGAACCATCACAGTCTTCCTCTGCTTGGTTTGTCCAGTACCCCTGCAAGTCTGACAGGGGTTAGAGATGATTGTTCCTTTGCCACCGCAGCGACGACAAGTGGAGCGCATCACAAACGGACCTGTATTTATTGTTTCCTTAGAAGTGGGAGAATGCATGTTTAGAACTACAAAACAAAACACACTTTGAAAAATATATGTTTGGGCTCTTACCATGCCAGAACCGTTGCAGTGGTTGCAGTGCTGGACCTTAGTGCCTGGCTCGTGGCCTTTACCGTCGCAGTTTTGGCACGATGACTCTACATTTAGCGAAATCTCTTTGTTGACTCCCTTTGCTGCCTGTGTGAACGTCAGATCCATGATGTACTGCAAAAACACAGAAAAGACCAGAGAATAATCATTCAAACAACAACAGCTGAGCTCTTAAGTAAAAAAAAACTAACAAAAAGCAGGTGTAGACATAAGGATACCTGGTTGTCCGCAAAACATTTTGGTTGTCCAAAAGAATCTCAAGAAAAATGTAATTTAACCAATAAATTGTTCTGTAGACAAAGTTTATTATATACAACTGTTCTCAATCAGCCAGGTTGACAGGATCTGCGTGAATAAAACTTCCTCATTCTCTTCTTTGAAATAGATTATTTAAGGCTCAGGGAGTAAAGCAGCAAAAATGTTGCTAATAAAATCTAGAGGTTCCACAATATTCATAAACTTCTTTCTGCTCATAGGTCAAACATTTTCACCTAAATAGGAGTATACTGTGTACGTGACCTTATTAAAAGTTACACTTTAGTGTTCTGTTCGGCTTTATCAAGTTTTTTTCTCCCTTTCATTTTTACAAATGATGGACACCCGCGGTAGAGAACTTTATTCAAGGTCTTTTTTTCTTGGTTGTCCACCGGACAACCAGGAGACAGGATCTGGTTGTCCGAAATGAAAATAGGTTGTCTCGGACAACCTAAACAATGGTTATGTCTACCCCTGCTTTAAAAAGGTATTGTCTGGCTTTACTTTTAATGTTAGATACATCTTACGTACCTCCTGTGGCTGCTCAAATATTTTGTTGTAGTCTCCAAAGCCTCGCCCTCCTGAGAATTCTCCAAATATTTTACGGAAAAGCTCCTCTGGGTCCACGCTGCTGGCGTGTCCATCCCAGTAGTGCTGCCCTCCTTTTGCCTGACCAGCACCAAAGTCCGCTGAGCCGTACGTGTCATACTGCTTCCTCTTTGTTTCATCACTGAGAACCTGAAAGAAGCAAAATGCAAAAATAAACAATTTTACTATATATAAATTAAAAAATGCAAGATCTGTGTGCATTAGAGCTTTGATGAAGACAGAAAACAAACCTCATAAGCTTCAGCCAGCTGAGCAAACTTTTCCTTAGCTTGTGGGTCGTCTTTGTTGGAGTCAGGGTGGTACTTTTTAGCCATCTAAGAGGCAACAACAAGACTGTCAAATGCTGAGAAACATTTCAGCTAAAAATTAGTGCCAAATGTCTGTCAGGCATAGGGTTGGGCAAAATTGTACTATGTGCAATTAACCCTCAGAAAAACTTAAATTTTTTGGCACTTGACTATTAATAGGATTAATGCTGCTAGGCAGACTGACAGGAGATTTCCCTGGTCAGTCCTGGTCGATGATCCTCTCCGCTTCAAATATGACAAACCTTTTTCTTTAAAGTTCTGTAATTTATTTATCATAACTCCGGTTTTACTTGGTCTATCACAGTTTAAAAGTTGTTGTATAGCAAGTAAGTAAGTAAGTAAACTTTATTTCTATAGCACCTTTCACAGACACAAACATCACAAAGTGCTTCACAGAAAGCAAAAAATAATTAAAAAACAATAAAACAGATCACAGATATAAAAACAACAATTAAAACACAATAAAAAGCACTTAACTAAAAGCCTGTCTGAATAAAAATGTCTTCAGATGTTTCTTAAAAGAGTCAGTAGAATCTGAGCAGCGAAGGGACAGARGGAGAGCGTTCCAGAGCTTTGGGGCCACCACCTGAAAAGCTTTGTCTCCACGGGTTTTATAATGGGTTCGAGGGACCACCAGCAGCATTTGATTAGAAGACCTCAAAGTCCTGGATGGACAGAGAGGCTTCAGAAGGTCCAGGATGTATTTGGGGGCCTGACCATGAAGTGCTCTGAAAGTTAAAACTAAAATTTTAAAATGAATCCTCAAATGCACAGGGAGCCAGTGCAGAGAGGCTAAAACAGGTGTAATGTGGGCTCTCCTGTAGGTCTTTGTTAACCTCGCTGCAGCGTTCTGCACAGACTGAAGCCGAGTCAAGGAGGATTTGTTTAGACATGTAAAAAGACTGTTTCAGTAATCTAAACGAGAAGAAATAAAAGCGTGAACAACCATCTCTAGTTCCTTCTGTGACACAAAAGATCTCAGCTTTGAAATGTTCCTTAAATGATAAAAACAGTTACGAACTAAAATTTTACAATGGCTGTCAAAAGACGTAGAACTATCAAAGACAACACCCAGATTTCTGAGACTATTTTTCACTGAAGGAGTTAAAAAAGCAAGGTGCTGCCTGATTACAGGGATTTTATCATCAGGGGCRATAATAAGAGTTTCAGTCTTGTTTRCATTTAACTGCAGGTAGTTGTTGTTCAGCCATATTTTGACTTCTGACAGACAGTTACTGAGTTCAGATAGTTTGAAGAACTCAGAGGGTCGAAAGGAACAGTACAACTGTATGTCATCAGCATACAGATGGTATGACACATTACTGTAACTTTTTAAAATAACTCCTAAAGGATACAGGTACAATAAAAAGAGGATTGGACCCAAAACTGAACCTTGGGGTACCCCACAAGACAGCGGTGCAACATCAGAGTAAACCTGATTCATAAAAACAGTAAAAGACTGTTCAGATAAATAAGAGATGAACCAGTTTAACACAGAGCCAGAAATACCAAAATGATCTCTCAGTCTGTAGATAAGAACAGAGTGATCCACAGTGTCAAACGCTGAAGTTAAGTCCAATAAAACCAGTACAGTGTAGTTTCCAGAGTCAGCTGCCATCAACAAGTCACTTGAAACCTTTAATAAAGCTGTTTCTGTAGAGTGCAATTAGCGAAATCCAGACTGAAAAGTGTCCATAATGTCATTTTCCTCCAAACAGCAAATCAATTGTTCAGCTACCATCTTCTCCAGGATTTTTGATAAAAATGATAGTTTGGAGATCGGTCTGTAGCTTTCGGGCAGAGAAGAGTCTAAATTAGGCTTTTTTAACCGAGGACAGACAACAGCTGTTTTGAAGCAGTGGGGTACAGAACCAGAATCAAGGGAGTAATTTATCAGTTTTACAACACTTGGGCCAATACAGTTAAAAATATCTTTAAAAAGAGAAGAGGGCAGGACATCAAGGGGGCTAGAGGACATTTTCATTCGACCCAACAGTTCTGTGATGTCCTGAATTGTCACTGGGGTGAATGAGGACCATGTAGCCTGAAGTCCGTACTGTTGACACAACTTCGAACAGATTTTTATAGACAGCAAATCTTTCCCACTTGAGTGATTTAAAATGGTCATGTGACCAGGTTATGCAGGCATCTAGGGACTTCAGGGGATTCATCATCCATCCATCCATCCATTTTCTTCCGCCTATCCGGGGTCGGGTCGCGGGGGCAGCAGCTTCAGAAGGGAGGCCCAGACCTCCCTCTCCCCAGCCAC